GGGGAGAGGGGAGGAGAAGGGGGAGAGAGACTAGGGAGGGAGGAGAAGGGGGAGAGGGGAGGAGAAGGGGGAGAGAGACTAGGGAGGGAGGAGAAGGGGAGAGGGGAGGAGAAGGGGGAGAGAGACTAGGGAGGGAGGAGAAGGGGGAGGGAGAGAGGAGAAGGGGGAGGGTAGGGGGAAAGAGAGGGAGAGGGAGGAGAAAGGGAAGGGGGGAGAAGGGGGCGAGGGGAGGAGAAGGGGGAATGGGAGGGAGAAGAAATGGAAGGGGGAGGTGAAGAAAGAGTATCAAATAGAAAGATAGTATAAGTAGATGTTCTACGAACGTTACTAATTGAAGATTTGTTATTTGATTATTGCCTGAACAAGGTCCAAGAACTAGAAGAGCGGGATCAATAGAAATTTACCCAAGAAAACATTTCAACTATGCGACTAATAAATAATATTTCAATCCGGATTTTACATGAACTAGACGAGCGTATTGTAAAGAAATACTTAATGGTGTTTAAAGTATCGTCAGAAAGCGGTTAGTGAACGTTAAAATACTTGACATACAATAACCCCCTTTACTTTTACTCTGTCCTGAAAAAATAGGAATACATATTTCCAAGATTGTCTAGTTTTAAATCAGACTAGAATCTTGGTCGTGTTAAACTAATTAATTTGATGTCGCCCCTTTTTAGATACGTACAGCGGAATACGTACAGCGGAATTTCCAAGAATAAATGGATGCTAAAGCAGCAGACAAATAAGTGAAATAAGGATTTATTTAAGAAGTTTCCCCGGTAGCAACTAAATAAAATACACAATATTCAGAGTTAGAGCAACATAATTTAAGATACAAACAACTAACTGATCTCAATAAGAAGGAGATCTATCATTATAGTATGACGAGAGTGTCAACTAATAGAAAGGGAGTATAACTGCTCTCTTATCACCAGTTATTCGTCCAACGTAACTACCAATACACTGAAACTACGGGTAATACTAATAACTTATAAATCATATAATATAATATAATATACTGGCGTTTAATCCTTTCCCAGGTTGATCGTAGTGATCTGGACACATTGCAGTGTAAAGGAAACATATCTGACACACACGTGATATCTGATAACCAATCAGCTTACAGCATCCGCCAATAAGGTCAATAATTTTTACTTAAAAAGATACGGCTACCCTTTCAGCCACTACCAAAGTCCAACATCTCTATTAATGTTAACACCTTGTTGCAAGTGCTACACCTTGTATTAATATGGCGTCATAATCATCTCCTCTCTCTCTTCTCGCCGCATGGTCATTTGCTGCCTATCATCACCTTAATAACATTACTCTATCACATCTTGTTAATAAGGTAGGCTTGTTCTTGATTCAGGAAGTTTATTTATTTAAATATCAGGATATCAGGATGAGCTACGTCGTTACATTACGTAATATTACAGTGACGTCAAGTGGGATGGAGGGAAATAACGGCATTCCATCCTTTCATACCCGACTCTACCTATTAATGGTATTTAACAAACTAATAATCAAAAGATCCGCGGCTCTGAATGTAATGCCGGCACCGGAAAGGTTCAACAATAGTTCACATTTCACAGTGAACAGTGTTCCCGTCTGTCAAGCCAGTTTATCTTGATCCACATATATATACCAGAATACTACAGTCAACAGTAATCAGTCAACAGTGAGCAATCCTGATCAATCGAGTGGGATACAGTTGTTATAAATATTCAAATATTATAAATATAATAAATATTCAAATATTTACAAACAAGCAAAATAAATATCTTTCTAAGCCCTACTAGGATCATAATTTATATTATCTGCATCCAGACAGCTATTGCAAACTCTTAGCAGATGAACGGAAGTAACGATACCGGATCCTAGCTCAGTAACCGATCAAAACACTACAGATCTTTGTGTTTTCATCTGGAAATGTGCGATAATATAACGGAAATATATTACTGTGCAAAACTCGGCGAAAAAAAGCAAATTTAACTTTCTGTAGTCTATTTCTAATTTTGTTTGGGGCAGACAATAGATAGATTGCCAATGGTTTGATTATTCGGGTCATACTCTCCGTTTTCAATTTACAAAGCAATCGCTTTACTAACAGTAACTAACTAATCGCGACCACTCGCAGAAGATCATTGTACTGGTGGAAAGCAATCTTGGATATTTGAAAAACGCAATCACTAACAGTAACAGTAAAACCGATAGCGATAGTGACTAAAAATGAAACAGTAGCGAACAACTTTCTTATATAGGGTGGTGTTTACAACAGATCGTAGGGAATAAGTAATCGGGTTCGGATATATGAGGTGGCCCGATGGACCTACGATGTCGACAAAAGTCTGCTCCTTCGCAATATAGACCACTCCCCTATAAAGCCAACTGCTCTGTCGCAAATTTATCATATCACACTTTATCAAGAGATCAGACGCTCAGACCACTCTAGTTGCTGAGATCAAGAACTGGTTTCAGAGTTTCAGTCCGCCCCGATATAATCCTTTATAATGTAGTACAGCTTACTAGTTACTATGAGCTATCCACATTAAATTAACTGCAAGGCTGTTTGATAGTTGAGATGGGAAGTTCAGAACAGGTAGTCAAGCAGTAGTGTTGGGGAAGTATTACAGTTTTGAGAGATCGCCACTCAGCTTTGATAAGATGTTGATGAAGTATAACTTTATCAGGCTGACAAGTGACAGCAATAACCCGATTCTGTTGCTCAATGTCAAATACGAGTTCAGTTGCGAGATTATATGATGGTGAGCTGTAAAACTACTTATGTGGTTTAGTTGACATGAACAAGTTGTGATATTCAGACCATACGTAAGAGGATGGGTGAGACGGTGAAGTTCTTTACTGCAGAACTGACACAGCTCGGTGAAGTTCTTTACTGCAGAACTGCCACAGCTCGGTGAAGTTCTTTACTGCAGAACTGACACAGCTCGGTGGAGTTCTTTACTGCAGAACTGACACAGCTCGGTGAAGTTCTTTACTGCAGAACTGCCACAGCTCGGTGAAGTTCTTTACTGCAGAACTGCCACAGCTCGGTGAAGTTCTTTATTGCAGAACTGACACAGCTCGGTGAAGTTCTTTACTGCAGAACTGACACAGCTCGGTGAAGTTCTTTATTGCAGAACTGACACAGCTCGGTGAAGTTCTTTACTGCAGAACTGCCACAGCTCGGTGAAGTTCTTTACTGCAGAACTGACACAGCTCGGTGAAGTTCTTTACTGCAGAACTGCCACAGCTCGGTGAAGTTCTTTACTGCAGAACTGCCACAGCTCGGTGAAGTTCTTTACTGCAGAACTGACACAGCTCGGTGAAGTTCTTTACTGCAGAACTGCCACAGCTCGGTGAAGTTCTTTACTGCAGAACTGCCACAGCTCGGTGAAGTTCTTTACTGCAGAACTGCCACAGCTCGGTGAAGTTCTTTACTGCAGAACTGCCACAGCTCGGTGAAGTTCTTTACTGCAGAACTGACACAGCTCGGTGAAGTTCTTTACTGCAGAACTGACACAGCTCGGTGAAGTTCTTTACTGCAGAACTGACACAGCTCGGTGAAGTTCTTTACTGCAGAACTGACACAGCTCGGCGAAGTTCTTTACTGCAGAACTGACACAGCTCGGTGAAGTTCTTTACTGCAGAACTGCCACAGCTCGGTGAAGTTCTTTACTGCAGAACTGCCACAGCTCGGTGAAGTTCTTTACTGCAGAACTGACACAGCTCGGTGAAGTTCTTTACTGCAGAACTGACACAGCTCGGTGAAGTTCTTTACTGCAGAACTGACACAGCTCGGTGAAGTTCTTTACTGCAGAACTGACACAGCTCGGTGAAGTTCTTTACTGCAGAACTGACACAGCTCGGTGAAGTTCTTTACTGCAGAACTGACACAGCTCGGTGAAGTTCTTTACTACAGAACTGCCACAGCTCGGTGAAGTTCTTTACTGCAGAACTGCCACAGCTCGGTGAAATTCTTCACTGCAGAACTGACACAGCTCGGTGAAGTTCTTCACTGCAGAACTGACACAGCTCGGTGAAGTTCTTTACTGCAGAACTGCCACAGCTCGGTGAAGTTCTTTACTGCAGAACTGACACAGCTCGGTAAAGCTGATCGGGGTTCATCCGCGTCAGCAGAGTGAGCAGTGAGTAGGTTTAGCAATCCTCAGGAGATGGTGTCTTTCCGTGTGAAAATCGAAGAGAAACCTTCAGTGTTCATGACAATGGTTTAACAGTGCTTATAGTTTATAACCTCCTGATTAAAGAGTAACAGCACAGTGCAAACTCCTGTTTTGACTCCTGATTTACTTTTAGACAGAGTGCTTATTATGGATACTGTTATTTAACTACTTGAAGAGCTGTGAGGGATATTTTACAAATTTCAGTAATTGTTTGAGGTTGCCTTTTATCATCGTGAGGAAATTTCCTTGATCATCATCTCAGATTTTAACAAAACTTTCTTGTTTTGAATTTTCATCTCTTACTGCATGCATGATAATCTTAAATTTCCGAATTAAATCACCATAAATGCAGCTCAACAGTATAATGCTCCTATCCGGAAACAACTCGGATTTAAAATTCTTGTCCAAGTGACTATAACCTCGTGACTGTGGTGACCGTACCCCACGTGATATTATACACGATCACATGTGCGGGACAGTAACGACTCAGTGTTGATCTAACAGTGTACGTGTCAAGATGCTCTTCATTTCTAACATGATTTATTGTCTCTTGTTCGCCGTTCTGCTGTCCCTGTCCTCTGCTATCTGCGAGTGGCCAGGTTTTCACGAAACTAATTACAGTTGTCAGGAAGGTAAGCAAAACGAATTTTTATTCTTAAACATAATATTTTTTTCCCGAAACAACATATAATTATAATTAACAAAACAAAATAAAATATAGTAACGTTTATAATTTCCTCATGATCAGATCTTAAAATTAACAAATGTAAAAAAGTAGCTTTTTAAAATTTATTTTCTGCAATGAAAAAAATTTATTTTCTGCAATGAAAAGCAACACCACTAGTCACTACTACAATACCTATAACTCACAAAAAGTCCGCGCTCAATACGTAGCAACAAGCTAATAAAAGTGGTTGTCTGTACAAGTGTCACTATTCATCGCTTAATGGAATTTAACTCCGTATTATAACAGTTCTATAATACCGGGTCACAAATGCTCAGTCCACACTAAGCACAGTCTCCAGTGCCTTCTGCGACTCCAGCAGGTGTTTCCTCCTCTGGTTGTCTCTGACATACACGTTACCATTGAGGACCCACGTGTCCAGCAGTCTGCCTTGCTTTACTACCCTTCTAGCAGCTTGTTTCAGCTCATTTCGCCGCCCTATTAGCTGCTCGTCTACACAGATGGTGTTGGAGTACCTATAAGTAATAAGTAGGGGTGTAGGACGCAGAGTGTAGGACGCTGACAGAGTAGGATACGAGGGCGGTAAGAAAAGAGGGGATATAATAGTCAACTTAGTACACAGAGAGTGGTTAAAAACCAGCGGCCAACAAAGACAGGTAACCAACATCAGGGTATTAACAGCCAGTAAAGAAAATAAAGAGAGAAACCTGCCGAACCCCTCCAGAGTTCTCATAGGAAGGCTCTGGAGCCGGTTCTTCCTAGCCAGGATCTGCCTCCTTGCTCCCAGAGCGTGCTCCATAAATATCACAATTACTGGACTCGTACGACTCGGTCTCCTGAGGATTATCATTGTAATAATGGTTTCAATTACGATAATTACAATTATTACAACAGTTTTCCTGGCAGCATAATACAAGTCTACCTACCTGAAGAGATAGAACACGTCCCTAATGTCCTCCGACTCTAGGAACACGCCCACTCGATGAGCTACTCTTATCACCAGTTCCCTCAGCTTCCCAGGGGACAGCTTGGTAGGAACGTTTATTATCAGTATTCTGTTGGAGAGAGCTTCCTGACGGAGGTTATCACACTCCCACTCCAGCAGATACACTTTACCCTGACAGTACACAAGCTTTAGACCAATGATAATTCAGAATATCCAAATATGCCTATCAGATACAGTAGATTGTATTACAAAATGTCTGCTGAAATTATAGCATAAACCTAATCAGCTAATAATTGGATAATTAGATTAATTAAATAATTAGTAAGTAAACCCTGATGTTTTCGTTGTCCTCCACAAGCCTTCTAATAGCAACTGCCAAGATCTCATACTCTTCATGGTAAGCGTTGATGTTTTCCAGAATACCTTGAAATACCCCATTCAGCACTTCATCAGTGTAGGTGGTTCTGGGAGGTGAAGTGACGTCACCTTGATTAGTGACGTCATCAGAAGCAGTGCTGGGAGGGGGAGCTCCAGACACTGACCCCTGCTCACTGCCCCAACTCGGCCCACTGAGAGTGGGGACGGAGGGAGAGACACTACCCCAGTTAGAAGTCTGCTGCACTCCCACTAAATCAGAAAGCTGATCAAACAGAGCTGAGTGGGTGAGTCCTGCCGTCAGGAGAGTCGGGCTTGGTTCTGAGTGAACTCTTCTTCTCTTTATAGGACACTGATCTGTGGAACTAAGCCAAAGTTCAGTTGCCGCCGTGTAAAGTCCTTCATCTTCAGAGTCACAAAGATTGGTTCCGTTAGTAAACAGACCCTCATACTCAGGACCACAGAGGACTCCCTTTGTCTCCTCCTTCACCTTCGTCTCCACCTCTCCAACACTCTCATCACAACTCTCACCAACAACTACTACGGAGCTGCCTGGTGAACTGAGGGTCCTGACTCTGACTTCACTGTCAGACTCTTCAACAACCACTACAGAGCTGCCGGGAGAGCTGGATCTGAGTTCACTGTCAGATCCTGGGTTCAGGGACACTTCATCTGTCAGCTGCCCGTCTGGTGTGAAACAAGGCAGGACGATAATACTGCTCCCCAGAGAGGAGTCAGAGTCCGAGTGGGTCGTGTCATCTTGCGCTGCTGGGAAGAACCGGTTAAATCCATTACGAGCCGGTTAGTTTAAATACACGGGGATACTGGATAGAGTGGTTGAATTATTTTAATTATTAGAATACTCTTACTACTTCCCCTTATGGTCAGAACCATGCCTTACATGATTTACTCTTCACTCTTGACTGACTCATTTTGGAAATCTTGTCACTTTGAATACACTTAATAATCTCTTAGGTGACAACTCTGTATTCATGCGAGGTAAATATAAGTGGTTTAATTCTGTGTATTGCGTAACAGTCCAGTATTTATACGGCAAAATTCGCGGACTCTGAACTTATCTGGCCAGAAATCAATTAAATCATCGCGGAGTGCCGGGCTACAAGGCAGAGTTGCGACCTCGACCAGATCATACGTCAAGCTATTGCAGTAAGGCGGATCTTCCTAACAAGTGGAGATACTTAGGATACATTACAGAGCAGAATATAATGGTAATAAACAATACATTAACCTAGACGAGAGACTGGTAGAGCCAAACTGAGCGAGTAAACCGGAGAAGTGATGCTGTGGCCTTGTTATAGCCTGCCACACTCGCTGCTTGGTCGTGTGCGCAGTGTGCGACTGTGTGTGTGACTGTGTGTGTGACTGTGTGTGTGATGGTAGTGTGAGTGGTGTTTGACTGGCAGTACGTCCTCCTGATTTCTCCTCATCATCACCACATGGTTACCATGGTTACGTCATGAGAACCGCTCTCACAGACCGTGACTTTATACTGTAATGTGACCAGAATATCTGGAGATGTAATACTGTGAGAGCGGCACAGAGCTCCGGACTTGTACGGATACAGATATACACCAGACTAGAAACCCGTAAATCAGCTGATATCGGAAGCCTCACCTTCAGTAGTGCTGGCGACGTTCGTTTCGACTAATTTCTACGAGAATACTCAGCAATATGTGCTGCTAGTTAGAACTAACTCCTTGTAAGACTTCTTCAAATTCTTTAGATGTTTTGAGTTGTGCACGTGGTTTGTTAACCTGTGTGTTCTGATTGAGGTTAGGACTCTGCCAGATCACACACAATGTTCCTGGGCTTCACACGCTCTTACGTCACACCTCCTGTAATTCATAGCTCCCCCCACCACTCTCTTCTCAAATAACATCTCTGTGTCGTGATCAACAACACCCTTCCTTACGTGTGTGTACCTTTCAAATTCGTTAGCACCCGCTTTGAACTTTTGTGTATATCTTATAAACATAACTTCTTGACGTGTTACACTTTGCACCTGTCACTGTTGGGCACTGTTTCACTTTGCAAGACTTTGTAACCGCTGTTTCACTTTGTAACTGTTGCTTTACCTAGTATGCTAACCTTGGTACTTGCACTTATCCTACCATCCCCCTCCACTACCGACCCCCTATTTGGGGGCTGGACTACCCGAGCTGTTAGGACTGCTAAGAGGGGCTACTTCCCTTCCACCCTGAGCCTCCTGGCATGCTGCTGCTCACTAATGTGGACTATGTCAGGGAGTGTACCATAAAGGATGATTATGGGGGCAGCTTGAGGTTCTGGTGTTTGCAGAAAGCTAGGACTGGGGTCTGCTGTGAAAAAGGTGAGTGGGAGACGTTATATTATATTTGAGACTGCACTCCTGTAAAGTCAGTATAGTGTAAATACGCGGGTTTCATAAGTAATTTTCATTAATTATTGCGTCTGGCGAGCAAACAATTCCCGTCTAGAACGACCTTAAACCGGGAACCTGGTACTTACTACCTGGAGAACTAATATAACTCAGAGAGAGAGATGGACCTGGACCTGCCTTATAACCTTATAACTTTATAACTATGAGAAGTCAGACGTCCATTAGGGGACCCTGAAATAATCTTTGTGTTGATAAAGGAGCCCTATTTGGTATTATTGGTGTCAGTTCAGGACAGCCTTCAGTCAATGGAATCGGTGCTTCGTGATTCTCAACTTTATTTATTTCTGTTACATGTTCGTTCAACACCTAAATTTGGATCTGCTTTGCTCGGTCGAGTGCTATATTTCTTCGTTTGTATCTGTTATAGTCAATTGAGACCTTCATCTGTATAACTATACGTATATACTATGCTCAGTATAGTATATAGAGCTACATCTATATCTGCTATCCTTAGTATATAGCTACATCTATATTTGCTATTCTGAGTATAAAGCTACATCTATATTTGCTATACTAAGTCTAGAGCTACATCTATATTCTTTATTTGCTATTCTAAGTCTAGAGCTACATCTATATCGATGCTATTCTAAGTCTAGAGCTACATCTATATTCTATAATATAGATGCTATTCTAAGTCTAGAGCTACATCTATATTTGATATCCTAAGTCTAGAGACACATCTATATTTTTTATTTGCTATTCTAAGTATAGAGCTACATCTATATCTTCTATCTTAAGTATAGAGCTACATCTATATTTGAGGGACCACATGCAAAACTGGTATATCTGAACATATACCAATTTTGCGCAGGTAGCTCATAGTCTTCAGGGTGAAAAGGTGCATCTTTGGAACTTTTTTTGAACAATTTTGAAGAAATTTTTGAAAAAAAGTGAAATTTTATTTTTCCAAAACTGGTATATGTTACAATATACCATTTTAGCTTTTAACAATCATGAAAACAAAATGGTATATCTGCAGATAGACCACCTTCAAGAAACTTATCTTCTATGAAACCGGTATATCTATACACATTTTATAGACTTTAGCCAGCCCAAATGGTATATCTTCAGATATACCATTCTCAGTTAAATTATTTTATTGTTTATAGTATAGAAAAAATGGTATATCGTGAGATATACCAGTTTTGGTACAATTCTAGTTTTAAAAATGGTATATAGACAGATATACCATTTTTTAGAAGTGTTTTTTACACATGATATAGAATCTTTAAATCAGTAAAATGCATTTATCTCAAAACTATCAAAAACAGATATACCAGTTTTGCATGTGGTCCCTCATTTGCTATTCTAAGTATAGAGCTACATCTATATTTGCTATACTAAGTATAGAGCTACATCTATATTTGCTATCCTAAGTGTAGATCTACATCTATATTTGCTATCCTAAGTCTAGAGCCACATCTATATATTTTGCTATCCTAAGTGTAGATCTACATCTATATTTGCTATCCTAAGTCTAGAGCCACATCTATATATTTTGCTATCTTAAGTCTAGAGATACATCTATATCTGCTATCTTAAGTCTAGAGACACATCTATATTCTATATCTGCTATCTTAAGTATAGAGACACATCTATATCTGCTATCCTAAGTCTAGAGCTACAATTACATCCATATTCTATATTTGCTATCCTAAGTATAAAGCTATTTATACTCGCTGGTACCGTGCTCTTTGTTGTAACTAATTAGCTCCAGGTCGTGATACGCTCCCCAATCTCCAGCAGATCAGTAACGGATCGTTATGCTGCCCAACTTACTACCCGGACGTTTCCCGGACGTTTCCCGGACGTTTCCCGTCAGATCGCTCTGTTGCCGCAGAGTGGCGACTGTAGTCCTCCTGTAGAATTAGGGAGTTGACAGAGTATAACCGCCTAGTTTCGTGATTAGTATTCTACTGCTTACGCTTATGTAGATTTCTCTTTCAATTCCCTTAATGATGTGGACGCTGCCTGACAAGGCCTGAAGTGTGCTATTCTGTTACAAATTAGTGGTTGTCATTGGTTTGCCAGGGAAAAGAGTGCAGTTTCTTATATTGACGTGACTAGCACCTCTATTCGCTTGTTAGTGTACATCAGACAGATGTTCTGTTGCTGAACGTCTCTTGATAACTCCCGGCCATCTTGATACTTTGTTTGTTTTGGGGTTGTAGTCTGGTCTCAATCGTCGGCTGAGATCTATTTGCTTTAAATGACTGTTTGGTTGCACTAGTAGCTTTATACCAGAAATTGGAAACAAATCACACATTGTGTAGTTCTTCGTTGTTTGTAGTTTCAACGTATCCTGATCCAGAGATCTCCATCTCGCTGATAACCTCATCCAGTCCAGATCCTCTTCCTAGAAGATATGTATCATTGAGCTACGGACTAGGATCACATACTACGAGACTAGATCTAGAGAGAAAGTGGCAGGTTCTGTAAATAACAGCTGATGAAACTTTTTGTCATTTTAACGACCCTTATTCGGACAGAACATCCTTCTCTGCTCATCATGTGAATTGTGAAGTACCAATATTATCCTGAGTTGAGTGTTTCTGTGAAATGTGTACAGGAAGTGTAGTGGCTGTAAACATGATTAACAGAAGGCATTAGTTCGAGCTTCGAATTCAAATTAATCGGTCTTGAAGTTACTTGACTAACAGTAAGAGAACACTAGCAGTAAGAGAACACTGCACGCTTGTACCTACCTACCTTGTAATGCAAGTAGTTCATTTGTTGCAGGTATTCCATAATGCAAAGTTGACTAGCTTGGAGGATACTGACTGATTTGCTCACCGCCAAATCAGTGATTAATGGCCGAATCAGGATATATTTCTCACAATTATTTGTCCAACTGGACATTAGCTAGATTATCTGAGATGACATTAGCTGATGTTGATTGATTTATATTCTAGTTTAAGTAATGGATTATTACGTCTGTTTTCCGCCCAAGTGTACTGACCATTCTCCCTCCTTTCAATTTGTCATCTCTTGAAACTCTTCTTGGTCTCAGCTGGAGGTTGTCTGGCATAATGATTAGTGTTACCGTAGCAGGTCCGCTGGTTTTACTTCGTTCTAAATTTTAATTTCTCTCGGTTTGATGACAGAACAGTCGGGCTCATCCCAAAAGCACATTTTTGTAATAGTTGACAGTGTTAGTGCGTGCTAGACACCCTGCGCATAATTCTAGATCTTAAAACTATGTGTGGGATACTGCATGCTAAATATGTGTGGCTTACTGTACTCTTCTCAAACTCCTCTGAAAGCTGCAGGAAGGAACCGAGTTTCTCTCTCTCTCTTTGTCATTTCTAAAGCACGTACCTGTGTAATCTTAAGCCTGAACACACATCTCCTTTGTACCAATAATCACACTTCCTCCACCAATAAGAACCGGCACCAACACTGACTTCACAAAGCAGGAATTGTCATCACCACGGTCCTGGTTTAGTCTTCAGAGCTACACTTGAAACTCAGTCTATCAGTCTGATATTACTACTGTCACATACCGTTCTCTTTATCAATTCTGTTTCATAGTGATGAGTTGCTTGCTGCGTCCTATAATGTATGTTCCGTGGTTCTGACAGTAATGCGGAACTACGTAAGGCTGGTGGTGCTGGCTTGCTGCCAGGTGGTTGTATGGAGCTGTTGGAGGTTTGTGAGGCAGTGCTACTTTCCCCGGATGAACCACCCTGCTGAATGGTGTCTTCAGCAGCACGGCAAACAGGACTGTTGCGACCCTCCAGGTACTATTAGTGTTACCAGCTGTTACCGTGAACATTTCAGGTATTGTTCATGTGTCTGTTAATGTGGCTTGTGAAATTGAAAATATCGTAGAGTTTAAATTTATAATTCATTATAAATAATAGGTGTGAACTTGAAATGTTAGTTTCATTATGTTCCAACCTGGCTCTTGTAACCCAGCCTCTCAGCTAATTTTAGAACTATAAAATCAGTGGTTTGACCTAACACAAATTATGATCATTGACTATTTCAACGAACTAATAATTCTCGCCTGTAGCTTGCATTTTTCCAAGCAACAAGAATACTTGCCAAGTTCAGATCAAATAGTCACCCATAATGTATAAAACGTATCCTGAAAGTGAAAGTCCTAAAACCCGTGGAATTCCGATGTTCGGGCCGTCATATAAACAATAAAATTCCGTACAATTTTGTCTATAAATGAGTTTGATATTTGGCACTGTTATTAGTGTGTTGGTTATATCTTGTGGCAGGGAGGAGTCCTCCCAAACATGGAGCTCCCGAATGTTGTACCAGTAAGCTCCTGATGTAGCTATATATCGTGTTGATATTCTTCGGAGAATATTTCACGTAATGGATCTGTTTGATGAAAACCCTATCACGAGAACTATACTCTTTGATGGTAGAATAAAAGCTTTCAAGAGTTAGGTCTTACTGTCGGATCCGGACTCTACGGCGTTAGAATTTGTTCTAAACTTGACCTTAACCCTAATTTTATTGCGCCGAAAAATCTTACACCGTAGGGTCTCACGAGGTGGACCCTGAAGGCCACGATGATTATTTTTAAACTAGCGTGCCGATAATTTTGATTGAAATGTAAATAAAAATGTTTGAAATCTCAACCAAAAGATACCTCGGCCCTTGTCTTAGTTACAGCACATCTCAATGTCTGGAAGTAACTGCAGGTTATAACTCTGTAACTCACCTAACTACTGGGGTAGCTAGGGACTGTACTAACTGCTTATGCTGCCTTCAAGGTGAGATTCAGATAACATACAAGTTTTAGTTAAAGTCTTCCAGCATAACACAGAGATACTGATATACTGATTTAGCAACTTCATCAGGATCTAGGCACAGCTTTAGGTTGCCGCTTGTGAAACAGGTACTAGTTGGTTTATGGTGCGAGTAATTCTCTGACTACTGTGCAGTTGTGGTCCCAGGGGATGTTAAATGTCTAAATATAGTACTCTAGCGCAGTTGCAATGACAGGTTCACGGTTCAACAGATCAGCGATTATCCGTGTCATGAGTCAGCTTGTTACTAACTGGATAACTTCAAACGACTCTTGTATTTATTATAGCATCAAGGTTCTAGCCGCATAAGCATAATATGGCTGCTATTTGATAAGTAAACGGTAGTTTTCTGTAAAATTCACTTTTCCAGAATTTTCTCCCGTCATTTCACGTGATGTTGGAATCGTAATGAGTGTTGACAAGGTGACTGCGTAGCTCCAATCAACTGCGACGTATGATTCGGACTCTTGTAATAACCTCGTCACTGGATAGTGGACATGTTTCCATGACATCACCATGGTGATTCAACATGGCAACTATCTCTACTCTTCATGGTATTAACTACTGAGTGTGGAGGTTTAGGACTGTAGATACCAAATAAAGCTCATAATGTAGAGACAGCACGTGCTGCTTCCATCTGGTGGGAAGGGTTTCTGAGGTGGGAGAAGCTGGGAAACCATACAAGGGATTCCTTAATGTGCTTATAAGGGCAGGTAGTTAAGAGTTGATTATTAGGAGTAACACTACTTAACTTGGTACTCAGCATGATCCGGGTGGCAAGTGCCAAAGCCACTGCCAGGAGTTCACAGCAACTTCTATATGGAGACTGCTTTTATAGGGAGTACCTGCGCAATTTTGGGGGTTCTTCTTTGATAATTTGAGTTATTTTTAGAGGCCACCTCAACGTATGAAATAGATTGTCTTATCTAGGTCAGTTAATTAAATACCAATCAAGGGCTTCAATTAACATAATGAGACTAACTTGTTTGTTGAGCATCACAACTGTTGAAGCTGCAGGGGGAGGGAGAAGGGGTCAATTTTGAGATTTTCTATTATTATGTAGAGCTCGGATTAAATTTTCAAACGCTTTTGTCGTCACCGAAAAAAATTTTCCGATTTGGAGATATCGCGTGTCAAATTTTGAGGTTTAATTTTATTATAAATTAAAACTTCAATTTCAAATGGAATTTTGTTTTAAATCTATCTTATTTTACAGTTTACGACATAAGATCTTGTAACTTGGCAACAGTTTTCGTCAAGGTCTTGTCTAATAGAAATATGTAGCGATTATTTTTCTCCAAAGAGGAGATATGAGGTTAACCAATAGCCATGAGTGCGCGTAACGAAATTTTCAACAGTTAAAAAGTAAGAAGCAAAGTTTAAAAACTCCCTGTTTAAAAACTACTGGCACATATTTCTTGATTGTGGAACAATTAGTGTTCCGAATTGAATGTTTTTTGACCTCGGTCATCTAGCTAAATCAGATTCAGAGGCACAGGGGGATCTAGTGCCAATCGATACATTTTTAAAAGACCCAACCCTTTTTGATGTAGTTGGTATGTAGTATTGTAGATGGTATGTAGTATGAAGTATGTAGTAATATTCACATGTTTAGCTGGGAGGGTAGTGAGGACATGTAGCTGACATATTGCCTAAGCTGGTATGCCCCTAGGAGGGAGGAATGTTTAGCACTTGTAGACCTTCTCCAGGAGTTCAAATATCTGGAAGATGGTTTCAGCGTGTATTCAGGGAGGACTGCTCAGTGGAAGTGAAGGTGTTGAGGGTATTGAAGATCCTTAACTCTGACTCACCTCGTGATCTATCTTCTTCATTTACTGTGGTTCCTGTAAACTCAGAGCCGTAATTATTACGATGATTACAAACTATTTCAATATAGTAATAGTATTTGATTTGAGTAGCGTAAGCGGACTGAGTTAGTTTCCGGTCAAGCTAGGTTTCCTGCTGTCCCCTCGTAGTCCAGCTGTAGCTGTGTAACTTTTATCTAGCCCTTACGCTACGCAAAAAGTGCAATTTCCCCTATTTTTTTGCTGATCACAGTATCTGATGCTCTTTTTTACTGAAACCGTTCAAATTCACTTCACCGGAGTTAGCTTTTGCTTATTATGATAATTTCGAGCTTATCGGCCTTTTATTATGAATATTGATGATTTAAACTTTCTAATGATTTAGCATGTCCGTGGCCTTGAATTAAAATATGTAATTGCATACAAATCCTATCACTAGTACGATCATTAGTTAATTAAAATGTTGCAAAGTGCCGACAATTCCAAATCATCACCACTTACAAGTTACGTCACTCTGTCACTAACAATGATGATATTATGATTGAACTGCTTTGAAAGCACCCAGCAAATTAAAGAAGATGCTGCAGTTCTGCGTAAAGCATGACCGGGTATATCAATATCACATGACACACCATATCATGTGACACATTATTAAGCAGTGTTAAAAAGTAACTAGGAGCTGATAAGAATCAGTGTGTTTGTTACAGGAAGTGTGTTTGTTACAGGTGTTTATCAGAACCAGCTGACACGTAGGTGAACCAGGATTTAGTAGTTTGCTCTAACTTCTCCGACTGACTGTCCGTACGACTGTCCGTACGAAGACCCGCCTGGACACCCGGGTTAGGACGTCGAATTTGTACGAATTTGAAGGACGGTCAAGATACGGTCATACAGCGCAGGGGTCCGTCAAATCATTGTACTTTTGATAGATAGGGTTACCTGTGCTCGTGTTTGTTGTTTAAACTCTCAAATTCCAAGTGTTTGCCGCAACTCTTTGGAACATCTCTTCACCTCGCCCGCGCTGGTGGATGTTTCTCAACGTTTTCATGGTTTTTGGTTTGAGTATTCTGTGCTTGGTAATCCACTCCCGCGCCTCCCCCGACTTTCTGCACGACACCTTCCACAACGGTACGGTCGAGAGATGCCCGCTACCGTGGGATAGGATGATCTTAACAGAGCACTGCTGGCAGAACCCGCTCCTTAATGACTCCTGTTGTAAATCAGGTGCGCATCTCTTATAGCGTTGTTTGTTGGGTGTTACTTACAGTTACTTACAGTTACTTACAGTTACTTACAGTTACTTACAGTTACTTACAGTTACTTACAGTTACTTACAGTTACTTACAGTTACTTACAGTTACTTACAGTTACTTACAGTTACTTACAGTTATTACAGTTACTTACAGTTACTTACAGTTACTTACAGTTACTTACAGTTACTTACAGTTACTTACAGTTACTTACAGTTACTTACAGTTACTTACAGTTACTTACAGTTACTTACAGTTACTTACAGTTACTTACAGTTACTTACAGTTACTTACAGTTACTTACAGTTACTTACAGTTACTTACAGTTACTTACAGTTACTTACAGTTACTTACAGTTACTTACAGTTACTTACAGTTACTTACAGTTACTTACAGTTACTTACAGTTACTTACAGTTACTTACAGTTACTTACAGTTTAATAGTTGATGATTTAGCCGACCAGCTAACAATCAATTCTCCACCAAAGGTTTGGTGATAAAAGTAAATGATTGCAGTTAAATTTGCTTGTTTCTTTTTGCAGTATTCACTCTCTCTAGTTAGAGACTGCATATTGAAAGCATCAAAATAACTTATTGGCAGTAATTGTAATAACTTTTTGGGTTCTTCGGTAAAATCGGAATCTGAAAAACATGACTCTCAAATCGCCAAATAACAAGTACAACTCCATCTGTATAATGCGTCTGTAGCACTCCCTCCCCGCTCAAATGGCATTTCATTAAAATGTTGATAAGGGCTGTGTTCAGCGCTGGAGCAGGCATTTCATCCAATTTCACTAGATAATACGAGTTAAATTATCAAAATAAACCATGATCGTCTTGAATTCGATTAATTTTATCATGATTTATCTAACCAACTTCATGTTCTACAATCCTCAGATGCTCCAATGTCCGATCGTTTAACTTTACCACTACCAAGTATTTCATATTTAAACTTTGAACTTTTAAACGGTCCTAACTCTCAGCCTGATTCTTGAAAGTGTAGAGATTTAAGCTGGCTGGTTATCAAAATAGCTGGGTTATAATTAGCGGACCACTTGTGGACTTCAGGTTTCAGGGTGACTAGTAAGTTGTGCTGAAATCACTAGTTAATTTGCACTGAAGCTGCTGCGGAAAATTCATTGACTGGTAGAAACCATAACTTAACGGTTAAGGTGTGAAAACGTTTGAGGACAGTCACCGCGTCAGAACTGGGAATTAACACTAACTTCACATGAATAGTTTAAAATATAGAAGCCAGCGAGCAAGAGCGGGGTGACCCCACCGGGGTCACTGCTCATTTCTTTGCGATAAACATATTCGTTAGACTGATTCTGAATGTCGCGCGGAATAAGTGACAATCTCTTTATTATTATCTCGTTATTGACAATTATTCTTCAGATCAGCTCTTATTCTGACAATTTCAGCATAATTACTTCTTTTTGTAGAACCCAAAGAAAATCTCGTGTAACATGCAAAGTTAAACTTAGGTGCGCGTCTTTATGCCGTAAACCTCTCCAAATTTTCAGCACATTTCCTATCATTACCAGTCCTTGAGACTGACCTCAATTGTTATTGTCAGTAGTCATGACAACATGACAAATGAATACTGGAACAAGTATGATGAGTCACTGTGAATAGTTGCTCCAACAGTAAGAATAATTATAAGGAATCTTAGGATTACGATGTCAACTATACGATTTAATGTCGTCAAGGCGTCAATTTTTGCAACAAATTCTTGAAAATGTGTTTATTAGATCATTTTAGGAGTTAATTTGGGATGCAGCTTTTTACTGTATTATTTATCATCGAATACAAGCATTGACTGATGTTATGTTGCAAAATAAGGCATGATCCTAACAATACGGTAGAATTTACTGCCTCTCAATATTAACATACTCTTTGCCCAGGTTACAGCAGATTCAAGGTTGGTATTGGACCGTCAGGATTGAGATGGGCCCACAACTACTGCAGTGCACGTGGGGGTGAGCTGGGCGCGCCGCGCGACGACTACGAGTTCACTCTGGTGCTGCAACTCCTTCAGGGACACCCGTGAGTTCTTACTTAATTAGGGGTTTCCACGGCAACGGGTTCGTTACTACACATATCGGCGGTAGCTAGCGGCAATTTCGGATCAGTAGCAGCAGTGGCGTAACGAAGGGCCCCGCTGAGTGCTGACCCCGCTGTGCAGAGGGGGGGGGGGGGGGGCGCCAAATCGTCCTTTGAATGTGGGACAATTTCGAAAAACTTAACTACGGTACTATGTACTAGAAAAACCACGTGTTTTGCTCTATAGAAACACACATTTTTAGAGATTTTACCGGTGTATCCTCTAAAATCATCTAATTTGTTCAATTTTAGGGAGGGGCGCCAATAGGGGAGGGGGCGCTTTTTCAGCGGGGGAGGGGGCCAATAAGCAACGTTACGCCACTGAGTAGCAGTAGCGCTGACCCGCGCCGCACATGTCCTTAGAAATATTAACTTTATCTTCGTTGTTACAAAACAATTTTTTTAAATCTTGCATTGTCCCTTATTCTCATGATCCCCCCATTAAGAATATGTTTGTTTCAGTGGTTGGATCAACATGTACCGTCAGAACAACACGCTTTACTCCGGCACGACCACGCCCCTAATGAACCTTACCTACATACCCTCCGAGGGGCCTGACGGTAACCTCACCGTCAACGGGGACGGGGACCTGGAGACCAAGAGTGTTACAGAGATGTTACCCTTCCTTTGCCAGTTTTCAGATGGTGAGTACTGGGAGGTGTTGGGCGTTGGTGATATTCATGTGGTGGGGAATGTTTAATTTTATTGAGTTCATTATTGTGGGGATCGGTATTCTATGACAGCTTTCAGTTTTCACGTGAGGGCCAAGCCTGATAACAATCAACATATTGAGACAACTTCATGTAAATAAATCTAATTTAAGGTAAATGAAACTTCGTTAAAGATCCACCAGGTTGAAGTTTTAACAAAAATTATTATGAGAATAATAATAATATAGGGTCGAGGCGTGTAAACCGCAAACTTTTGTCCACTATAATAAGCTTCACTTTTGCTGTTTTCACGGTGAGAAAAATGAGAAACCTCGCGAAGTGAACGAAATCTTATAAAATTTCAGTCCCGTATTTGATGTTCCGTAGAAGTGTGGGTGATGTAAATACTGGAGTATATAATTATATCCCTATCTCGCGGGGTCTCACTAATTCTATGATTCACGTTATCGTTAGTATATACTTTACATTTTGTTATGATTCTTATATATTTTAATGTTAGTGTCCGTCAGGGTTGACAATTTCATACCATTAGGAATTAGGATCTCCTGCTTTATTGATATTTTTTTTCATGTTTCTCTCATTTTATAACTATATTTTTGCTGACAATACTGATTTTATTTTTATCCCAGAAACTGTTCTGATTTTTAAAAGATTTTCTTAACTCATTTTAGTTTTAAAACTACCCCGACTTTGAACGATGGCTCGAGTTTTGCTATTTTTTATTGTGTAGTTTTATTGCAATTTCTGATAAAAACAGTCCAACCAGCAGTCTCGCCACAGTTCCTTGAGAAGCAAGTACAGCTATATTGCAGCTAAATAGAGTATGTTAGTTCCTCCCAACGAAACAGCGTGAGGAACTTAGTAGAAATTGTTTTGAAACTAGTGCTAGATGAGGCGTGAGGAACTGAGTGGCAATTGTCGTGATGTTGTCGTGTATTGTCGTGGTGGGCGAGGCAATGTTTTGAACTTGTGCTAGTCCACCAAGCAGCACAAGAATCTAGTGACTAGATAGATATTCAGCACGACAACGTGCACTTCTCATATAGTAACACTAATTAATTTTAGTCTGTTATTTTGATGGTTTGCTGCTCATGCGTTACGTTCCTCACTTGCTCTGCAATTAGTCTGATTGAGTCTTGTCTCTTTTCCTCTTTCCTCGTTAAAAAGCCATAAAATGTACGATATTACGTTTACCCGGGAGAGACTGGTTAACAAAAGCCGTATAATGGTAGAGTCTCTGTAATTGACTGTAACATTATGTGGGACTAACATAGGCTGGGTACCATCTTCTTCAGTCTCAGCTTATTGTTATTTTATTGTACCAGTTGTATCTTGTATCTACGCATGAAAGAGCAGTGTAAAAGTGGTTTATATATTGTCCATCGAATGCATTGTCAAGTTGTTATTATTAAATTTTAATCGCAAGTAGACTGGGGCTAGTTGAGTACTTATCATCAAGATTTAAGAATCATCTCGATCGTTCCAGTACAAAACAAAGTTTTATAATTTTCTAGACGGTAAATGTGAAAGCGAGGCTTTTGAATCCCCCGAATAACAAGGAAGGTGTGAAAGTTTAGTTAAACTCGACTACTTGCAGTTTGTATCCTCACAGTGTGAAAAAGTTAGTCATGTAATCTCTGCAGTGTGAAACATTTAGCCGTGTTTTTACTCCCCCTGTTCCCGAACTCTGTTCTGTCGTCAACTACACCGCCGTTGCTATGACTACCCGCCGTCCTTGCACGTTCTCAACATTGTCTAACTGTAAATCTGTCAGGTACAGTTATTCTCATCCTGCAAATTCCTTAGGTTTCAATGTTATGGGCTACTGTACATTCTCAAACCTAAATACAGCTCCGGCTCGGAGTGTAATCCTGCTATTTAGTTTAAATTTGGCGTTTCAGTCCACCAACAAAAGGTTTCTCAACATTCGTCACGTTATTCATTTGTGTGTATTCCTACAACCAGGAATTCAGATCCTGTATCCGAGTATGTTGAAATGCTGGTAACACATTATTATTTCCTATCACACTTGCCCGCGGATTTGCGTAGAACTCTTTGACATATGTTACTCACAGTAGCTGTTAGTCACGCTCAATGCCACTAAAATATTTATAGTATTCGTAGTTCTCGTCTCACATGTTGTTTTCTTATTGCTGCCCTAAAAGTTTATAGTTCGGTGATTTTGAAGTTTGTTCTAATCTGGAAACCTTCATTACGAACATTGCTTCATAACTGTTACCAGGGTGCTTCATAACTGTTGCCAGGGTGACCCTATTAATTTGCAGTAATCTGTGATCTGTGACACTTTGTACCGCCTGCTAAGTCCTTTCTAAAACATTAAGGTCCACAATTATTCCGATAAGGGCTCTAACTGTTAGTCTCTAATTTTATTCTTCCACAAAAGTGCAAATTTGTTAATTTTCAGCCGTAGCGTAAGATCTGCAGAACCACCTAAATGTTAATAATGACCTTAAATGGGCGATGAGTTCATTCCCTTATCATCTGTTGGTGTTCATGTTTTTGTACCGTCATGTTTTAACCATGTTATTGTAGACTGTGACCTAACATTGCAGCATTATGGTGCCCCCGTGGCGCAGGAAGCGAATATTTTGGTTTTTATGATTGTTTTTATAAATAATCTGCACAGCTTTCATGAATTATTCAAGATAATTTTTGGGTGGGGGGGGGGGGCAACCCCATGCCCATTAATTTCTCAATTTTTGGACAAATGGGCATGGGCATCGGTGGGCATTGCTGTTTTTAAACCTTAAAAACAGCTACAAATTTAGCTGTGATGAAAAGAACTATCCTCTAATTTTAATAGTGTTCGGTAGGGAGCTCTCGACAGACAAGTGAAACAAGGCAAATGACCGGTGAAAACTAAATGAAATAATCGACGTTCCGGCACTCATTGGCCCTTTACTAACATGACTTATACTAATTATAAATTACAAGGGCCTCTCTTAAGTAGGCCAGTCCAATTAACTTCTTGTCACGATGTATTATTTTTAGAGCAGCATATTATCTTTAAGTACCGTGTGTATGTTTAGCCAAGTTGTGGTACACCTTACTTACTTGCTCTAGTTCCTATAATTGGGCTGCCCTACTTAATTATAATCAGTAATCTTAGTAAAAGGCCAAAAGTAATTAGCATGTACATTGTACAGCTATATTTCAGCTAAATAGAGTATGGTATCAGATTTTTCGATCTTGACCGATCTTGAATAATGGTGAAAATGATTTTGCCCATTTATTCCACAACTTTTGGTCAAATGGACATGGGCTTCGCCGGGCATCGATGAGTTTGCCCCCCTCCCCCATTTGTTCTTGCAAGTTGCAACTCTTTTAACCATGACGGCATAGAACTAGAAGCCTAGACAAGTATATTGTTTCCGTGAGTTATAAAAGAAACGCTTGGCTAATTTGACCCCACTTTCTTTCACCTGTGAAGGGTTCCTGTTGTGGAACTGTACTTTAGTTAGAGGCAGCTGGTCGGCCAGACCTGTCAGTAATTTCAATAATTAATATCCTTAATTCTCCTGATATCTCCTTAATGACGAGGAGGGCTCTTTGATCCTTTTATTCCTTTTAACTAGGACCTCGTTAGTAGAGCGCGCTAATATCCACCCTTCATTACCCGCTATTAACTCTACTTAAGCTGCATTTTTATGCATTTTTATGCATTCGTTGACATACAATAAGAGGTTCTAATAATTACACTTACAAAGCGTCTGAGGAAGGGCGATATAAAGTGGCTTGTTTCTTGTTTTGTTGAAGTTCTTAGCTTTTCTTACAGTTCCTTCTTCAAGTCTCCGCATATTTGCTGTCTCCACTACTATAATATATAAATATATACATCTCCGTTTTAATTGCTTCGGTATTCTCTTCGTACGTGGTCGTAAAGAACATTATCCTTATCCGAAATTAAAGAATATTATCCGTAATTAATGAACATACTCCTTGTTCGTCTTTTAAGAACATCCTCCCTTGAGTGGCGTAATGTTGCCTGTTGGCACCCTGTTGGCACCCCTCCCTAAAATTGAACAAATTAGGTGATTTTAGAAGATACGCCGGTAAAATCTCTAAAAAAGTGTGTTTCTATAGCAAAACGCGCAGTTTTGCTAGTACCTCAGTTAAGTTTTTCAAAATTGTCCCACAATCAAACGACGAGTTTGCGCGCCCCTTAGATGGCCCCAACCCCCCCCCCCCCCCCCCCCCCCCCTCCACAGCGGGTTCAGTGGGGCCCTTTGTTACGCCACTGCATCTTCCTTGTCCGTCATCAAATAAATATAAACTATAGGAAAGGATCTTCCTAATCTTGCTTCAATGACGGAATTCAGAGCAGAATATATAAGTGTTTGGGAAATCAGGGTAGGTCTGGCTTTGCTTACGTTATAGATTGCAGGTCAAGTATCGAGCTTAACGCGCACTTGCACGTGCGTGATGTTGGTCTGCCTCTAATTTGAGATGGTATCGATCAGAGATCCAACACCTATTCTCCCATCCCAAATTATCTCGTGATCTCAAATTCCTGGACTGGGCAGAGTTGTCTGAATGATATGGGGATATGTCCCCGAGGTTTGAGAGCGTGCACGCAGTCATGTCGGGATTCCGTAATCTTCAACCTTGTTGACAGGACTACTGCCCGCTTTATGTGTGGTTTTCCGTCTCAGCTGTCGTTTTACAGGTTTTCACTTTTCCCGTCCAGGCTGGTGAAATGTCGGGAATAAAGCACCCAGCTTGTTCAGGGATCTGCTCCTCATATCTCCTCACTCGTTGTCAACAGAATCTGTAGTTGTCTGCTTCACACCACGTGACACAAACCAACCAATCAGAGCACAGTATTCATACCACGTGACACTGACAGCTACAGTCTTGACGTGATCGCATTCTATTGACACGCTCTGGGCTTGCTTGTTGGGTACTGCCTGCTTCTACCAATTATTAAACTTGTCAACGTCTCTCCTACGAGAGGTACCCTCTCCTGCCTAATTTAAAGCCCACGTGCCTCATTACCGTGCCCGTGCCCACGTGCCCGTGGCACTCATTACCGCTAGTTGATTGCCAATTGTCGGACGGTGTTCGTCTCTGTTCCGGGTGTTATTCCGTAACATTTTCACTTCCTAAACTGTTCCAGGTCCTAAACTGCGCTAACTTCCTGCTGTCTCACGGTTTCGCTGTCTCACGGTATTTGACAGTACTGAAAATAATGAGTTAGCGTCTATTTGCTGGAATATGCACATTATCCAGGCTTGTTGTAACGGCCTGGTCACGGCATTGCTGCCACACTCCTCAGACTATATATGTTGGAGTCACACTACTCAGCGAGATTACATCCTACACTACAGCCCTCCTCCTTCTACGAGATACGTTATTTCTCAGAAGTGTTTTATTTTCTCCGCTTCTTGTTTGACACCTATTAGAGAGGTTATACTCCGTTCCGTTATTTCTCTGCTGTCTCTTCCACTCCTGTCTTTCACGCTAACAAAACGTTACCACTGCGCAACTCTTTTACTTCATTTTTATTTATTTATTTTATTTTATTTTATTTTAATCGCCGTTTATTTTAATGATTATATTTATATTAAGGGTTTTTGGGACATGTTAAAGATTTTGATTTTGCTGTTTGTGGTTGTGGTGGCCGGCAAAACTAGAAGTCACGGCAGACAGTACCTGAACAGACACTACTACTGTAAGTTTAAATCTCGGTTAAAGTTGAGAATGTATTTTAAAGATGATATATGGGACTCAAAAGAACTAAAAGAGTTTCCTTGCTCAAATACACTTACTGTTTAACTTTATGATCCCTTGAAATTATTATTTTTGCAACCAATGGGCGTCTGTAAACTTCATTAACAGGCAATAAGTTTTGAAATATAGTTTAATCGGGGGCGGAGAAACAATAAGTCATTGAATGGTTGGTGTTCTTTGGACAAATTATTCATTTCTAGTCCCTCGGACAAGTTGTCAGACTTCTAGCTCTAGTGGCAGGGATTGTGTATGTCTTGACAAAAACTGAGTAAATTGTAAGAAAGCAAAGTTTACAACCATGACCATAAGTTGACATAAGCCACTGTGATTTGGTCGGGAAGCCAAATATCGGCCACTAAGTTTACTAATTAAAGCATTCAACTGAGCTGATCCTTTGTTGGCTGTCAGATTATTTTTGATGTTTTTCTATATTTCAGCGCCAAAGTAACCCCGACCCTCTCCTCTTATAAAATCCAAAAATTAGTATTCTATAATAATTTGCCGATTGGATTGTCCTTTGAAGGATTACCGGGGGTTAATTTAATAATAAATGTCACGTCAATGTGGTATTTGTGTATAGCGGGTAAAAGTTTCTAAGTTTTACAAGAGTGGTGGGAGATGTATGGTTTCACTCGATGATAAGTAAAGAGAGGCTGAGACACAGCGGATTGTTGATTCGCACAGGTCGCACTGAATGAGATACCTTATAGGAGATCAGCACTTAGTTAAATGTTAAAGCTTCTACTTACTCCTAAACTTATTCTCTTATAAATCATGGCGGACATCGGTAAAGTCTTTTTTTCCGTTCCAAGCACTCAATTTTAACAGCTTCAACAATCAACATTACTTCCCAAAAACTAAATTTTGATATGATAAAAGTGTCCGAATGACCTGCGACGGACGATGATGAACAAAGTTAGTAATTTAAAAATTAAGCCACACTGTTGAAGGGTGTGTGGTCTCCGAACTGCTGGAAGAGGGCTGCTATCTTGCCACTTGTTCCATCCGGGCGACTACCCCCACTCTACTTCTCCCTCAATATACCCATATCTCCGCAACCCGCCTAGCACCACCCCGCTCTCCCTGCTAGTTGTAACCCATACTCTCCTCTCTCTGGAGCCAGGGAGAGACTCACCGTCACTGATCACTCAGCAAACACTACTCCGCACTCAGCGACCACAAAAACAGTTTAAAATATCAATACATAGATAAGAGGATATATAAAATTTCTTCACATACGTGTTATTCACATCACGTGTTATGACGTCACACCACGTGTTATGACGTCACACCACGTGACCCATTGTTGTGTTTCAGTGGAGGAGGAGATACCGGAGTTACACTACTGTCTGCCCGAGGAAGTAGAGACGGAGAAGGGAGTGTTCTCGTGGGTTGCAGCGTCTACTAACAGTACTGTGAAGGTGCTGTGTCCTCATGGTGTTGTCGAGGGGGTTCCTATTCATAAGGTACTTTACATGTTTCTTAACACAAGGATATATTTTTATATATATATTGATGTTTAAAAAGGCGGAAGTTTCCTGCTTCTTTTCAAGCCGTAATGTAATGTGGTTATAAAATTGGTAAATTGAGTCTAGCCTGTTATCATGTCAACAACAGTATAAAACATAGGCTTGATGACAGGTATATGCTTATTTTTGATTAAAAGCAATTACTTAAAAACATTTTGAACGTAGTATTTAATCTAGCACCACAATTATAGGGCTGTTTTCGGGCGTCAACTTTTAGTTCCGAGTCCAACAGACCGACATTTAACACCTTGCAAACTAGGTAATCTCTTCTCCTTAAAAACAAGTAATGTTAAACAATGTTGTATTATTGAAAGCAAAAAGAAACATTTTGACTGTAACACTGTTGTCCAGGGTTACTCCAGTAGGACCTGTGTCCCGGGGACGGCCGGACTAACTCCAGTGTGGGCAGACGCAGACATGTCGCGCTGTAACTACGAAAACAGAAAGACCCAGGAGCTTTCCTCCCTCCGGGAACTCGCTGTTACTGGAGATAACGCAGTGGAGATAGCTGCCAGGGTCCTGGACCTCACTAATAACTCACACGAGGTAGTTAGATCAGATACTGTAGTTAGTTAGTTTAGTTAGTTAGTTTAGTTAGTTAGGTAACTAACTAACTGGCAGTGTCATCGTGTCGCAGGGTCATGCTTTAGCGCGCAACATGGCGCAGTTACCGGGCAGGAACTCTTTGATCTTTAAATTATTGTCAAGCCTTGGCTTCTGTAAAAGTATTCCGATAATTATAATTCTAGGTGTTTTATCATAAAGAATTGTCAGCAACAATAAATGATAACAATAGATAATATGATTCAATAATATGATACATTCCTTATCGCTTGACTTGTCAAGTGTCTTAAAAAGCTATTGGTGGGATGACATATCTTGGTTTCAGTTGGATGATACAGGTGTAGGCATGGTAACAGATATTATAGAGCACCTAGTGGAGGCGCAGAACTCCTCAGCTACAGAGAACATTACTCAAACTCTTAGTAATATCTTAGACGTGAGTTTATTTCCTGTGTCCATGGCTACAGGTTGTAGTTTTGATTTGCCTCGTTTTTAAAATCATGCAGGCTACCCTAAAGTCTGAAAAGCAGTAAAAGTTTTGTTAAGAGTCTGTCACCAAAATCACGATATTTCGAGCGTCAAGATATCCGTCTTTAATTTTACAGCGGGAATCCTCTTAAATCCTGTTAAAATATGCAGTTATTTCATAGTTTAAAGTTCCTCATTGTTCAGGTAGACGAACAAACACTGTCCATATCCCAACAAAAAGACAGGACCTCTGACAGGATCCTAGACTCGCTGGAGAAAGTGGCGGGGAGTGTCGCGGACACCCATTCTCAAACCCTGGACACTAAGAATATCCGCATAGTAGCTGCTCGTTCATCACTTCTGCACAACATCACGTGAGTTACCAGTCTGACATACCTGTCACATGAGATACCTGTCTTTGTTGTCTCACTGCAATGGGTTGTCATGGGTTACAGTTGGGTCGCCGTGGGTTACTGCTGATATTAGGCGCGCTCTGTTGTGACTGTCTCCTCTCCTCCTCCCCTGTCACACGGGCTCTCTGAGTTAACTCATATTTGGTCTGTCTTAATTGTATTTAGTCTTTATTATACCTTCTTTTCAGTTTGAGTTCCGATAACGGAGTTGAGTTTAATTTACCGGCAGCAACTGTATCTTCAAATAAATCAGCTTATATCATTGCCTACACTACACCCAAAGTAAGTAATAAAGATCAACAGTAACTAAAGGATATCATAATTATCGTACTAAAAACGTCTTAATTAATTGCTAACCAACCAGATAACCGACTTATACTGTATTTAACTAAGATATGATATTAACTCTCTTGTCCCCTAGTTGTTTACGAGCAGGGTGCTAAGTATTGGTGCTGCACTGGAACTACACACCAATACTACCCAACAAAGCGAGGAGTTCCTCAACACTGTTATAATATCAGCTGGGCTGGACAGAGAGGAGGTTTCTAACCTCACTACCCCTGTTCAACTGGTCTTCCCTATTATCAACACGGTACGTTAGATTAACATTTCTTACAAAGTAACATTAGAAATAGTTCAGTAGACCCTATCATGTCTCTCCGCTCCTTTAATCCTTCTCCTCCTCTAACCCTCCTCCTTCTCCCCAGGACGCGTCCATAGCCCGGTGTGTTTACTATTCCAATAACAGTGACGGACAGTGGCTATCTGACGGTTTAGAGTCTATATATGATAACGATACTAAAACTGTGACCTGTAGATCTAGTCACATGACCAGTTTTGCAGTTATTATGACTATTGACGCTAAGACTATTGTTCACAGTGTCGGTACCAATGCTGTGGTGAGTAAAATATTAAATACTGTCTTACCTTGTGTTAATAGTTTTTAAAATAACCATTAAAAATTAACTGGTTTTTACATTAACGAGTTTTTATCTCAGACTTCAATCTTTCGCCCCATTTCAATGTAGAAGATAACTTATTATCAAGGAAAGCCAGACAGTGCTTAATAATCTGCACTCTCCAGATAATGAACACAATCAGCTACCTGTGCCTGTTCCTGTCCCTGGTGGGTCTGATCCTGACGGTAATGGCTCTAACCCTACAGAGGACCCTGTGGAGACTGGACATGACTAAGATACATGTGTATCTCTCAATATCCCTCTTTGTGGGCTACGTTATCTTCCTGGTCGGGATTGATCAGACTCAGGTACAGACTCACTCTTACTCCCCTAACTTACCTAACTCACCTAACAGTGCTATAGTGTTGTGACGTGCTCACCATTCTGCGGTGTGTTTTTCTAAATCTAACAGATCATTTCTGTTGGGACCCAGCACACAATGTGTCAGATTCTCTCCGACTGAGTGTTGTGACGATAGTTTACACCCTCAGTCTACTTCATGAGGCTGGTGTATAAAGACTAATTTGGCGAAAACAAGTAAAAACTAACAAGTGTGCTTTGTTTCACCTCATTTGCGGGGAATCAGTAGAAAGGCTAGTAGACAGTCCACGGTAAACAGAGAACTTAACAGCCAGATTAAAAATAGAGGTTACGATAGTGTAGCTGGATATGTGACGATGATACCTGCAGACTGATATGTTCCCTTTTTTTCAGTCACGTGCCCTCTGCATAACATCTGCCTTCCTCATGCACTTAGCCTTCCTGACAGCCTTCGTGTGGATGGCCGTGGAGGCTTATACTCTCTACCTACAGGTGAGACACACAGTTTTACAGTTTTACACTTTATTTTTACACTTTATCATATTTACACTTTATGTTTTATCGTCTGTACTAAATCCTGACGTCATCTTCCATTTTTTTACTGTATATGATGTGGTGTCTTGACTTTTTGTTTAAATAATCTGGCAATATGTCATGTGTCAAGATCGGCTGAAAATATCAAGATGAAAATTAGATGCAGCATAGAATTAGGAACTTTAAGTAATGATAACACTACTGTTGAGTTAACAGTCTGAAAAGTAGAAACTTTAAATTTAGATGAAAATGTTTTTAGACTGCATCGATATGTCATGCATCAAAATCTATTACAAATATTGAGACGAAAGTGATATGCAGTCTGAAACTTATAGTTATAACCATAGTGATAATGGAGATGGCTTCTATTATCTTATTATATCGAGTCTGAAAACTTGAAACGTGTAATTCGGATGAGTCTTCAATATTTTCTGGTGTATTGCAACTATTGGTACTGATACTGTATTGCAACTATTGGTACTGATACTGATACATTGTCTTATCAAACATCGCACCACATCATAACACAGAGGTTGTAACTATTAACTATTATCTAGACTATAACATGTAACCCCCTCTGCAGTTTGTAAAAGTGTTTCCCAGCTACACGCCTAACTTCATACCAAAGTGTCTGATTGTGGTATTCTCCGTCCCTCTGGCTATAGCTGGAGGATTCCTGGTCGCTGCTCTCTCTAATGATCCTGCCGACTACTATGAAGTAAGTTCTGCTTAACATTTCTTATCCTACTTTACATTCACATTGTTTAGTAATTACGCCATTACTTACACAAAATTACATTAATTTAAGTGCTTCTTTCACGTTTTTTTCAAAACAAAATAAACAAATATCTAAAAAATTTATTTACCGCATGTTTTGAGGACTGTACATTTTTGAATATTTCTAAATATAATGTAATTACTGAGCACACTTTTAATCCCTTGAACACAACTGAACACTTGCTCGCTAAAATAATATTTTCAACACTCCTAACGGTGTTAAATGAAGGAATATTTGTGTCATCAAACATAACTTAGTTTTTAAATAATAAACGTCAATTATTAGAGCACTATTTAATCTTATTGTTTTATAGTTTTGAGACTGGTTCCGGAAAGTTTCCATAATTACAATAGTAATATTACATAAGTAAACATTGCATTACATAAGTAAACATTGCATTACATAAGTAAACATGGCATTACATAAGTAAACATGGCATTACATAACTCAGTGAAAATTCTCACTGTTTTAAAAACTAATTACATCACTTATTTGGTGCAAAGCAGTACAGTGGTTTATACAAACTATTCAATGACATAACCCGTAAAAGACCAGTCAGCTGCTGTCCTAGGACAGTTAACACTTATCAACCAACGTAACGCGGCTAATTACTTCCCCCTCAAACTATTTACCTTTACATCACCTATCTAGATCAGTGTAGTCAGCCTCTAAATACTTTAGCGTCCGTTAAAATTTACATACCATCTGTCCAACTTGCAATCGGAACGGAAGGGATGATCTTCTTTCAACAACTTAGTTTTTTATTAAATTTTGGAACATGTGCTTGGATGGAAGAAAGAAATCAAACTGGTAGGTACTACAGAGTAGCACAGACTTTATTACACCTGTACCTCCTACCTCCGATAGTTTAATGTTTTAGGTGTGACTAAAACCTCACTTCAGCTGCAGAATTACTGCTGGATAAAGTCGTACACACTCTACTACGGGTTCATACTACCTATCCTCCTCATTGTCACCTGTAATATGGTCCTCTTTGGTTATGTGACACAGAAGATTTGGAGGATTATCAGTACGAAACCGGAGAACGAGGAGAATCAACTCGGAAAGGTAGACGAACTAATTGCTTTTAAGTTGTTACCTGGTGGTAGTGGGAGATATATCTCCCACTACCACCATCTAAACCCCAGCTGTTCAAGTTGTTACCTGGAATGTTCCACTAACACCCCACTAACTACACTAACACCCCACTAACCACACTAACACCCCACTAACCACACCAACACCCCACTAACCACACTAACACCCCACTAACCACACTAACACCCCACTAACCACACTAACATCCCACTAACCACACTAACACCCCACTAACCACACTAACACCCCACTAACCACACTAACACCCCACTAACCACACTACTAACCACACTACATTCCCCAGCTATCTGTACAGTTGAGAGCCACTGTCAGTGTACTCGTGGTGTTAGGAGTTACCTGGCTCATCGGCGCCTTTACCTTCGGCAGCGCCTCAATCGTCTTCCAGTACATCTTCATCATTCTCAACGGTCTTCAAGTTAGTAGCTGAGTTTTATCAATTCTTACCAGCTAACATTGAGATCACTGCTAATTTGTATTGTTTCTACACCTAATTAAAAGCAGGAAGCTAGGTTGCGTGTGATAAGGTGTGATTTAACTACCTTTACCTCCAGGGATTCTCTATATTCATGTTCCACGTGGTGTTGAAGCCGGAGGTGAGGAAGAGGTGGTACAACAGTATCCACGATATCACCAACTCCTTGTCCTCCAACTCCCATGCTCTCAAGTCTAATTCATTCCACAGAGCTCACAAGTTCCAGGTTAGTTTCAGCTTCTTCCACAGAGCTCACAAGTTCCAGGTTAGTTTCAGCTTCTTCCACAGAGCTCACAAGTTCCAGGTTAGTTTCAGCTTCTTCCACAGAGCTCACAAGTTCCAGGTTAGTTTCAGCTTCTTCCACAGAGCTCACAAGTTCCAGGTTAGTTTCAGCTTCTTCCACAGAGCTCACAAGTTCCAGGTTAGTTTCAGCTTCTTCCACAGAGCTCACAAGTTCCAGGTTAGTTTCAGCTTCTTCCACAGAGCTCACAAGTTCCAGGTTAGTTTCAGCTTCTTCCACAGAGCTCGCAAGTTCCAGGTTAGTTTCAGCTTCTTCCACAGAGCTCACAAGTTCCAGGTTAGTTTCAGCTTCTTCCACAGAGCTCACAAGTTCCAGGTTAGTTTCAGCTTCTTCCACAGAGCTCACAAGTTCCAGGTTAATGTCAGCTTCACCTATGGCGTGTAGTTAATGTTTATTTACCTTATTTGGCTAAGAATGTTTGCGTCATTTTGGAAAAAGTGATAAAAGGTTCCAAATTAGAACGTAGAACGCCTACGTCCACGTTTTGATAAAGCATCATACACATTACACGATGGACCAAAAATAACGTTAAATGCAGATTCTTTCGGTGTAGCGGGTCCTCTTAAATTTATAACTGTTGGCTGATTTGTGACTTGTGATTGATGTGTTTCTAACACGTGACCAGATTACCAACCAGGTTAATCAGAACAACAGATGTACGGATGACGACTCGATAACGAACCCCGGGGGACGCTACAACACTTCCTTCTGCAGCTCCAACTCTCAGAAACCTCTTCTTCTCACTGACAAACGTTACACTTACCTCTCAAACTCCAACGATGTAAGATATACTTCTCTAACTTTGGGGTTTATTTTTACTTTTCTACTCTCAAATGTTTAATAGTTCCGTTTACAGTACATCACCTATTTATAAACTACGAGGGTCTGGAAGTGCGATACATTTAGACCTCGTAATGAAACATTAGCCATTTAAACGACTATATTTTAATCACGTGACTCAAATTAAACAATCAGATTAAAACCACGTGATTCAAACTAACCAATGAGAAAGCTGTATTTTAACCACGTGACTAAGATGTAACACTCCCGTGATCAGGTAGCCTGGCCTGCAGAGCTCCCTCCTCCTTTCCCGCCCCTTTATGATCCGCTCTATGAGTGTGATTGTGAGGGATCTCAGAATTCCCAGCATTCATCGCCCACTCCTAGGGGTTTGCTAACTGCTAAGTCTTTGGCTGCCTGTATGCTGCACTTTGATAACCTTATTTTGGGCTAAATACCCTAAATGCAGTGTCTAAGACTGAGCTGCCAACTTTTTAAAATCTTATGTGAAATGTTCTGATAACTGTAGATCATTCGGTTAAATGTGTCGGGATGACAGCTCGTGTAATAATATAGGGTTTTATTCTGATAATGAGACGAACTCTTCTGAATACTTGCATTATTTACAGCCTGTTAATTCCCCGTTATGATTCCCCAGTACGCCACTCCTATTCCCCTAAAACCCCAGTACGCCACACTGATTATCCCTAGATCCTCTTCTACCCCACCTTTTACTCCCACTCTATTTAGGGCATTATGAACATTTTCTGGGAACTAATGTACCACAAGCATTTCTGGGCAGGATTGTTTTCTTCACAGGATCCACCCCGAAGAGTTGTAGATCTGATGGGCACAACTAGTTATTCCTTCCAAACGAAAGTTCACTTTAAATACCAGGGACTGCAAAAAATTAAAATACCTCGATTCGTGATAGTCAGAGCACTTTCAAACCCTCATTCGCCTGCCATAATGTGACCATTACGGTCATTTTTCACCACCTAGAGGTCTCCTGAGTGCTTTCCTAATTACAGAAACAAATTTTTAAAGTTTTTTCTCAGGGCGCCTGGAGATATGCTCTAGCTAGTTGTGACCATCAGATATGATTCTACAATAATTCGTTGGGGTTGTCCCTTGGACTAATGACGACATATCCCTGCACAGAAATGCTTGTGGCAAATTAGTTCCCAGATCGTTCTATATGTATGCCTTTTATCCCTAACTATTATACTCTCCATATTCCCTTTAACTCCCCAGTGCACCATTTTAATTCACAATATCTCTTCAGTACGCCACGATAGAGAGTCGCCCGAGCTCGGTGTCCTCTGCGATCAGCGACCACCCCGCAGTGTTGAACGGGACAGTGCCCCCTGCGGTGACTGGGAACGGGGCGACCCCTCTCATAGAGCACTCGCCCGCCACTCCACCTGACATCCCTCCTATCCGTATCAGTGGTGCCTCACTCAACTTGAAGCGTCCTCTCAGCACCGTGCCCAGTCTGGGGACTCCCTCCACCCCTGGGGATATGCTGGATGTAGACCTCTCCCCGGAGAACGGATACGCCTTCAGTCCGATCACCCATCCCAGATCTTGGGAGTATAATCCGTTAAACGAGGAGAGCCCTGAACCCAGGAAACAGATTTCAGACCCTCTCATTGAGGGAGATATTCCAGAACAATCCATACCTGAGCTTGACGACGCTTTTCTGCGCGAGGGCGAAGATCAGGTGTAGCTTCTAGCCAATTCTAGGACTAGCTATTTAACAAGATTTTTTATTTCGTTGTGATGGATTTATTTTATATATTGATATAGGCTTGAAATTTATTTTTTAGTTATACCAACTAACACTAAAAAACAGTGAGTGATGTAAGTGACTGTACAGTTTGGGAGTACTGATGATGATATTGACTGCAATTGAGTAAACTTGAAATCAAAAGCATCTTTGATCAACAATTTGACTTTGTTGACTATTGTTGTTGTTGACCCTAATTTTTATCATTTTATAACATTATTCAAAGGTCAGGTTGCAAGGAAAATACCCATGTTTCCATGGCAACTCGAATTTTCTGTTATTACAATTTGCAATTCTGCATGTGTTGCTATGTATAATATTCAGCTGACAAGTGTTTAGCGATAATCAGTCGAACTAAACAACTGTTTTGTGTATCCTATGGTGGACCCACCAAGACTCGCAGTTCTTTTTCATTTTACGCTCAGTTTGACTAATATCTCATTGACGAGGATTTTACTATTTTTTAGTGGTTTGATTATTCATTAAAATGTATACGAATAATAGATATGGCTCTTACTAATTCGCTCGCCCAAAAATTTCACGTAACTTTGGTTTTTATGGTACCAACCATAACCCCGAAGCTATCCATAACCCTTACCACAACCCTAACTCTAACCCGAGCCCTAAACAATCGAATTCGTGTTTTACTAGCCTGTCACGTGACCAAAACGGTTTTTTGCCCATAACTCTCCAGGGTAGCATTTTTACCCTACGCTAAAGATCTATTTCATACCCAAAGGGCCTTTTCTCAAGAATTTTCTTAAAATTTTGGCGAGCGATTTAGTAGGAGCGAATAAATATAGGCTCGTATAATAATTACCGTAGATTTGCAACAAAATCAATCTTCGGGATTTTGTAACTTTTTCGGTGGCTACCTTTGCACTTAGGGGCTTTTCCTTATCACATGCACATGACTTAAGACATAAGTTTCAAAAACTTTTGAGTTTTGGAGAGAACTCTTTGCATGGCGACTGGCGATCAATGGATCATTGAAAATTCAATACAAAACATTGCTCCCGTGAAATACGATAAAATTTGTATGATTTGCATTTTGCAGTGTATATGTATTTATTGTCAATGCTATTCAATTGTTTTATTTTACAAAAGATTCTTTGTTGATGAATTGACTTAGTTTTACTCACAACTTGTGATTTATAACCTAACCGTACCAAGACGCGCGCCGAGTTAGACTCGTCGACGGTTTTTGGTCTTGGAATAAATATTTTACAAGTATCAACCGTTAAGTCAATCGTCATGATGAGACCCAATTTTTAATTCTGAATTCGTGGCAACGCACTTTGCACTCGTGTGTGGCAGGCCAGCTTCAGCGTGGGGAAATTTGTTTATGGTTTAGACGATGAGAGATTTCTAGTTTTCTATAAGCATAAGGAAAATTTCTTTATGCTTATAGAAAACTAGAAATGTGATCGAAAAGTCGCATTTAATCTGTTACCCAGCCAGCTGGTTTATCTCGCATCTCTGGTAGAAAGAAGTAAAACGGGGGGGGGGGGGGGAGGTACACTACACTTTTTTACACCAATCTTACTTACTTGTACTTGATTAGGTCTCCTCAATCATTCGAGTGGCCTGCACCAATGAACTCCCGTTTGTGACGTATCATCTCCCTCCAAAGTTTTCGGTCACTAGCCATCTCGCTCGCTCCTTCTAGGTCTATGTCAGTGTTTCCTGTAAACGCTGCAGCATCTTCCAGCAAACATTTCATCCAGTTCTTTCTTAGACGGCCCCTAGATCTTCTCCCATGCGCAGGGGTCCAGTTAAGCAGGTACTTAGGAAGCCTAGTGTCTGGCATTCTGGTGACATGGCCAAACCAACGCAGGCGGTTTGCTCCTATGAACGTCTCTACTGGATTTATCTTTGCACGCTCCAGCACTTCAGTGTTTCTAACCCGATCGAGCCATCTTATCCTAAGTATTCTCCTCAAGCAACGCTGATGGAACACCTCAAAGCGATGTAGCTGCTTTTTGGTTGTGTTCCAAACCTCACTACCATATAACAATATTGTCAAAACCGCTGCCTTATAAATCCTGATCTTTGTATAAGACTGGATGTTGCGGTTTTTCCATATATTACTCAGTTGATTGAAGGCTCCGGAAGCTTTCACTGTGGCTTCTTTCATGTATGGCCGTTGAGAGGTTGCTTTACCAATGACCATATCCTCAGTCTTTTTACCATTGATTCTGAGAACTCCCTGGGCACCATACATACACAAAAGGTCAGTTGTTTCTTGAAGACCTTCCTCGCTGTTATCCAGTACAGCCATGTCATCTGCATAGTCTGTATCTAACACAGTGATATCATCAACAAGCGGACTGATAGATCTTTGAAGAACCGCTCCAATCACCAATCACCATAGATTAATATTTTAAAAAAGTAAAAGTGCTCACCTAACCATGTGCTTTCGCGCCTCTGCGGGCGCGGCGCGCTTGTTTCACAAGTAAAGAAACAGGGACGGCGCGCGCGCTACAGCAAGGGCTCTGGATACTACTGGATAGAGCAAGTTATCTCATTTAATATGTAATAAGTACTGTGGCGAAAGCATTATTCAGTATTCAGTAAGCACTCGTGCGCGGCAGGCCCATAACGTGAGGCAAATCTTTTTATTGTTGAGCTATACTATGCACTTATATAATATGCAGCATGTTGAATTTCTTTTTATAAAGGGTTACGTTAGTTTTGGGGCTTCAATGGCCAACAATGCAAAATTGCAAACTTTCTTTAACTTTCGAATACAAAGTTATCTACACTAGCAATATTTACCATCTTTGTAATCTGTATATATAAATAATGATATATACTATATAGATATTTTAAAGTATGCAGAAAAAAGCCTAAGAACTCATGATTAACGATGTCAACCCTTCCAGATTGTTGCTCTGCGAATTAACATAGCAAATATCTCGTCACTATATACTTCGATGCAAAATAAGAATGATAGTTTGCGCGGCGCGTCGAAGCAGCGAAGTCCTCTTACCTAAGGACCTAACTATAAAAGTTCCATGGCTCGTTATTGGCTTACTGGGCCGCGCCCGGCCTGTCATTCCGCCGAATCTCTATAATATGTTTATGAACATGATAGCCTGCGGTCCCCAAGTAAGTTATTGGCTAGACATTAGTTGTTGACCACTATTATTATTATTATTATTACGTTAAACTGTGTTACAAAGTTTAGATATTGCTTTCGATACCTGAAATTGGAAAGGTTACACTTACAGTCTGATAAAATTTTATTGCAGAATATATTATTTATTCTCATTGGCGAATTCGTAGTCTTTTGACACACGCTGCAACCCTTTTTACCTGGGGACCCTAGGCTATTATGTTCATTAACATAGAGATTAGGCGGAATTTGACGGATGTTACTCGTCTAAATTTCTTCGAAGTAGCGCGCGCCGCTTTCTTCTCGAAATGTTGGCCCGATGGCAAGTGCTACGAAGTAGCGCGCGCCGGGTCAAATCATTAACAATGGTCAAGGCGGAATGACAGGCTGAGCGCGGCCCAGTAACCCTTTTTGATCGCGCGCGGCCGGCCGGCTGAGAGCTAGGTGTGCAACGTGTAGCAAGCAGTCTTAGAAGTTGTTTGTATTAGCTGTTGTCAGCACTGAATTGCTTCACTCAAAATTATTACCAGTAAATTTGTTACCAGACACCATGCAGAAAGCTTGACGATTAACGAGTGATATTCGTAAAATATTTGTTCCAAAGTGTCCATGTCGACGAGTGCAACTCGGCGCGCGTCTTGGTAGATTATAAACCTACAACCAGAAAGCCCGTTGTCACAGAAAAAGAGCTAATCATATTCATTGATGATCAATTTTGTTCCGATTTTTGACGGATGCGATGTTACTCGTCTAAATTTCTTCAAAGTAGCGCGCGCCGCTTTCTTCTTGCCGATCAGTTAAACAAAAAATTTCAGTTAAACAAAAATTTTGCAATTTTATGCCATTTATTACAGAGTAAACAAGTTTACAATATATAAATTTGATATTTAAAGGAATCCTAATTCAAGTTGACCATTGTTAATGATCTGGCCCGGCGCGCGCTACTTCGTAGCTCTTGCCATCGTTTCGAGAAGAAAGCGGCGCGCGCTACTTCGAAGAAACTTAGACGAGTAACATCCGTCAATAATTCAAGGTGTAATATGGTTGTCACGGCTTTTACTAAATCGCTCGCATAAACCATGCCAGAATAACTCAATATGGTGTAATAAGGTGTAATAAAATTGAAATACAATCGGGCTGTAAGGAAGATCCAAGGAGTGCCCACTAAATGTGCCTAAATAAATAAATAAATAAAGTCAATTTTTACAGCACAGCAATATATATCTAAATATCAGATCCTCTGTAATCATAATGTATAAAAAAAGGAGCTTTTCTCTGTGCTGAAGGATGAATCAAGGCAGATCATGGTTCTGTTAGCAGGCCACCCTAGTTATGGACAATACATATATATAAAATAATTAAATTATAATTTTAAAATTGTGTCAAGATTGAACTAAAACATAACTCAGGGTAAAATAGACGTATTCCCTTCGTCAAATTAACTATTTACAATACTAAACTTAAACGAACTCCGGGTAAAATAAACGTAATCCCTTTGTCAAACTTGCTATTTACAATAAGTTAATAAATTAATACGGTTGAAAATTATTTCATATTCAATAACAATGTAGCATCAATATAATTGATACAAATGAGGAGCATACAGTGAGAATTGCACATAACAGGAGGACTGGAGGTATGGAGCAATAATGATTGACAGTGCACCTTTCCACTGATGTTCCTAATTTCCTGTAATAGCTTAATAGGCATGGAAATACTTTGATTGCAGGGGATAGATTGGATTCACTTATGTACTGAGATAACTTAACCGAAATAACATAACTGCCTAGATACATTGGCTAGTGTTGGGTGGGATCATGAATTTATCGTAAGAGTTATCCCCTTGGTAATTTTCATCAGTTAGCAACATATTCATAAGAGTTTCTTTGTATAACTTAGAAAATTTCTTAACGTCGTCACACTCTCTAAGGGACTTTGGTAATATGTTCCAGGCCTTAGTTCCTAGATAGTTAAACTCCCTGTGAGATCTTGATTTAGGAGTATAAAGATTGCAGTTTTCTGCCTCACGTGATCCACCAGAAATATACGAGAATTTCCCGATAAAATGCTTTGGACATGTTTCATTGATTATACGGTACATATATGAGCTAAGATGAACCTGTCGTCTCAAATGGAGAGGAAGCCATCCCATATTTTTGTATACATTAACCGACCTCTCTCTGATGTTTACATCTAGGGCTATTTTAGCAACCTTTTTGTACATGATATCTAACTCTCCTAGTCGTTTTTTATATGTTCTTGACCAGATGGTGTCTAAGTAGTCAAAATGTGGCAACATGAGTGCATTAGCAAACATCTTCCTGAACTTAAGAGGGAGAAGTTTTTTTGATCTATACATAGCACCAATTCTTTTGGATATCTTTTTCTTAATGTTATCAATATGTGGAAATGTATACAGTATCTACCACGCCCTTGACTGTAAACTAGGTGGATACATTTCCATGCGCCACAATGCCATAAGACTTAAGAGACACTGCTGCTTTCTTCCTCCGAGAAGTAAATTAACGGGTGATACTCGTAAAATATCTCTTCCATATATAAATTTTGAAGAGTATTAGCAATTAGTTCATGATTGACATACGTTGCATGCCACTTTTCGCGCCGATACGTAACATGTATCAAGTTCATGATAATCTCACTGAGTTAAATATTTACCGTATTTATACCGTTAAAAGCACACATTTCGACGGCTTAGTGGCTCAGTTGGTTAATCCGCTTGGTATTGCTTAAGGTACCAGGTTCGATTCCCGACTCTGTCACTAGCCGTGGGGTGAGCGTCGTCGACGCTCAGCTAAGGATCCTGAGTGGTCTATGCAGCCCTCCGGTCCACTCAGCCAAATACTCGAGAAATCGGGTGTGAGGGTTAAATGAGGAGCTGCCCATTGCAGCAAAGTCTCGGGCGAAGAAAGTATGGTACACACTACCTTAACCGTCACTGGCCTAATGTATGATTGAATCCTTCGTCTTCCTGTAATTGGCTGGTTACACACTTATGTAACAATGTGGCTGTTGGAATGTCCGAAGTAAAATAAGTGTTAAGATTGAGAGATTAAGGTTACTTAGCAAGGACAAAAACCAATAAAGCATAAAGAGGACTAAAGCTGGAAGTGAATAGAATCTGTTATCAAATGTTAAGCTTAATTTCAATACAGTCATAGACAGCGAACAAAACAACAGTGAATCGATTATAAAGTGCGTAAGTAAGTGAAGTTACAAAGGCAGACAAAATTGATGAGCGCTCGATTTTATCACAGAATTTCGAACTGCAGAGTGATTTTAAGCCGCGCATAGCTCACGTGACTCAATATAAGCTATCCTATTGGCGCAAACGTTTCAGCCAATCAGCATCTACGGCACTTTTCTGTCGTGATTGAGTCGTATTTCGACCTACCAGGACCGTCGACGAGTCCAACTCGGCGCGCGTACCCTGGTAGGTTGTAAACATACAAGAAGCAAAGTGTAAAGACGTATAAGGATAGAACCAGCACTCCTAACTGACAGTCAAACCAATTTTGCAATTTATCCAATGCGAAAATGCGCGTTACCAGTTAAATGAAAAAAGTTTGGGCGAGCGATTTAGTGAGCGCGATTTTAGTTTCAAGTTTGATAACAACACACGCAAACTTAAACCACAAACAATTATGATTTCAGTGGGATCAGTGGGGATGTGAATTTCAAATTCAATCAACTATTTATAATTCATAAGTGATGGTTGATCATTTTACTAATTTCAACGTAGCGGATGTTTGAAATTGTATTGTAAATGAAAACTGTAAATGAAATTTTGTTTTATAACTATCTTCATTAACATTTATAGTTTACAACTTGAGAACTTGTAACTTGTTTTAGGGGGTGCACCATAAAAATAAACTTGCTCGGATTTTTAAAATTTTTGTACCATTGTTTTCTATTACTGGGCCGCGCTCAGCCTGTCATTCCGCCAAATCTTTAACATTATGTTAATGAACATAATAGCCTGGGGTCCTCAGGTAGTGTTTTCTAGAGACTGTGAGAATTTTCACAATACCAAATTTGTTATACCTTTTTGGAAAGATCAGTGAGTTTCGCCTAAGTGCCATATTTGATGGTGCGCGGCTTTTGGAGCAAAATTAGGTGTAAAAGTCGCGTAATTTGACCAAATT